TTGGTGGCCTCCTGAAGAGAGTCCCTTGGCTAGCGTTCGGTCTTCCACAAGCTGGCCCTGACCTATCTCCTCACGCTTCTTTCTAAGTAACAATAATGATAATATTTGTATTTGTCTATACGAAATGTTCTTACATTCCATATTTCTTTGAATCGTCTTAGGAATCGTTTTTAGGGATAAGGACACAGGCCCAAGAAGTAAAAGGGACTGCCCAGAGCCACTACACCTGGAGTAGACTGTGGCTGTGGTAGATTGTATGTTACCATTTGGAATAATTGGTGCCCCTCCCCAGGGACAGGTTACACTTTCCTGCCCTAATAACATGAAGGTTTGGCTTGGACTTGCTTTGGCCATTGAAATGTGGGCATAAGTGGCATGTGTCACTTCTGAGTCCACTTGTGATTCTCCATGTCCCTTCTCTCTGCCAGGAGACTAGCAGAGTCCCAGATGGGGGCTGCTCTGTCAGCCTGGATCCTGAGTCCGAGAGGGACATTGATGTGGAGCAGAGATAGAAATGGCCCGTTATGGATGTTCACGTGCGTAAGAACTAACCCACTGCTGTGGTGGGCCACTGAGGTGCTAGGGCCACCTGTGACTGCAGCACAGCTAAATCCGAGCTGACCGTGTGGTGGTCAAACATGGATTAGTTCTAGATCCCCTGAGAGTGGACCTCAACCATATTTATCCCTTGCATTCCAGACAGACCATCCTGCTTATTCTCACCTCCATTCATGTCTTCATCCTGCTGCCTCTGCCCAGAACTTTGTTCAAGTCCTACCCATCTTCCAGAGTCATGCTCAGAATTCGCCTCTTCTGTAACACTTTCTCAGAATCATCACAGTACCAAATACTCAGTAGCATCGCACTCTCTTTGTTTTAATCCATCTCATCTTCACCCCATGAAATAAGCCCTATCTTTGTTGCCGAATAAGGTGAAGAAAGGTAAAATAAATTGTCTGAGATCAAAAAAAAAATAAAAAATAAAAAATAAAAATAAAATTGTCTGAGATCATACAACTGGTGATTGGTAGAGCCAAGACTCAAATCCCACACTCCTTCCACTCTACTCCCCATTCTCCTTCCATTCCCTGTTACATTTCTACACATCTCTTCTCCTGAGCTGTAAAGGGCTTCTTTATCTGATTGATCACATTTTCTTGATCTGAGTTTAGGTATAAATTCTGTCTCTTACTGGTGGTATGACTTCGAGCTGGTCACTTAATTTCTCTGAGCCTCAGTTTCCTCTTTGTATCCCCCACAGCACCTAGAAAGGTACCCAGTAAATACTGACTGACTGAGCAGATGGATGAACTCTCGGAGCCCTCATTTGCCCATTTGTAAAATGAGAATAATAATGGAACCTCCTTCATAGGGTTGCCTAGCACAGGGCATGGCACTGGGTAAGATGTATGCAAAACAATGTAGTTGTTATTATTATTATTATTATTATTATTATTATTATTATTTATTAGCTATAGGGAATGTAAACATAGTATATACAGAGAAAGAAACCTTACGTCTCACTATGGGGATTAGGGAAAGCTAGCTTCACGACAGAAGTGATTTGAGTGGTCTTTGTAGCACACATAGCCTCTGGACACAGAGCTGACTGAAGGGCAGGGCATTTTAGGCAAAGGGGTCAGCATAGATAAAGACACAGAGACAGGGGATCCCTGGGTGGCTCAGCGGTTTGGCACCTGCCTTCAGCCCAGGGCATGATCCTGGAAACCCAGGATCAAGTCCCACCAGGCTCCCTGCATGCTCCCTGCATGCTCCTTCACTCCCTCCCTCCCTCCCTCCCTCCCTACCTCCCTCCCTCCCTCCCTCCCTCCTTCCCTCCCTCCCCACTTCTCCCTCTGCCCGTGTCTCTGCCTCTCTCTCTCTCTGTCTCTCATGAATAAATAAATAAAATCTTTAAAAAAAAAACAAGGCACAGAGACAGTGTAAGTCTTAAAATCTTAATTCCTCTTCCCCCAGTTTTACCATTGTTAGGGTCATATCTAAGGAAATAATCCTACATATGAAAAGATATGCATAAAGATGTCCACTGCAGTATTTATAAAAGCTAGAACAGGGCAGGCCCGGTGGCTCAGCGGTTTAGTGCCCCATTCAGCCTAGGGCATGATCCTGGAGACCTGGGATTGAGTCCCGTGTCCGGCTCCTTGCATGGAGCCTGTTTCTCCCTCTGCCTGTGTCTCTGCCTCTCTCTCTCTGTGCCTCTCATGAATAAATAAATAAATTTTAAAAAGCAAGAACATAGAAATAACTGATAAGTCTAACAATAGGGGAGTGGTTAAATAAATGACCTTATATCCACTTGGTATATTATTATCTGATAGGTAGTATTATAATTAAATGTATGAGAAGTAATAAGGGAAAAGTTTATGAATGATGCTATGTGGGAAAAGATAAAATGAATAATCAATGTGGTTACAACTATATAAAAGCAAATCATAAACCAAAATAATAAATAAATAAATAACGCAGAAAGTCTAGGAGGAAATATTAATAGAAGTGGCTTCAGAGTAACGGGGTTTGGTGATTGCTCTCAGAGATTTAACTTTTCTTCCTTATATTGATCTTATTACTAGAACTAGCCTTTATTGAGCACTCACCATATACTAGGCACTGCACTAATATGTTACATACAGTATCTCACTTAATCCATATAACCCAATGAGTTAAAATTCTCTACTTATAGAGAACCTAAGACTTCTATATTTATACAATAAGCATGTATTACTTGTATAATAGGAAAATCATATATTTACTGTATTTATGTAATATTTTATAAGAGATTCAGATTCCCCCCTTCCTTTTTTTTTCTGCTACTTCAGGGATAAAATACACATTGTTCTGTGTATTTCTTTATGTACCTCTTTATGTACTGATATTTTAGTAAATTACATTTCTTAAAATGATAGTAGGGTCAAAGTATATGTGTACCTTTTTAAATTTTGAAGTCATTTTAGAATTACAGAAAAGTCACAAAAATAGCATAGAGATTATTTGGCAATAAAAAAGAATAAAATACTAGTACATGGTACAACTTGGATGAACCTTGAAAACATTAGGATAAGTGAAAGAAGCCAGACACAAAAATCATATATTATGATTCCATTTATATGAAATGCCCAGAATAAGTAAATCTATAGAAACAGAAAGCAGATGGGTGGTTGCATGGATACAAAGATGAGGAATGGAGAATTTTGAGGTGGTTTCCTTTTGAGGTGATATAAATCCTTTCAAATGAGTGGCGCTGGTTGCACAACTTTGTAAATGTAAGATGGCCACTGAATTGTGCACTTTAGAAAGGTGAATTTTATAGAATGTGAGCTATAGCTCAATAAAGCTTTTATTTTAAAAAAGAAAACAGTACAGAGAGTCCCAGATACCCCTCACTGAGGTCCTCCTAATGTTCACACTGGGAAATGATTGGATAAATTGCAGGACGGCACTACTACGGAATAGTAAAAGTATAGAATAGTATGATTTCTTCTCCCCCCTAAAATTGTTTAAAAGAAATGAAGATCTTTTATATGTGTGGATATGCTACATTTGCAATAACATACAAGTAATGCAAGTATGCAAGTGAGCGTAATACTGGCTATTCGGTGACAAAATTAAGAGAAGAAAAAAAAAGAATTAAGAGAGGACTGAGGGAGATTATGCAGTTTGTTTTTACAACCCTCTCTTTAGTTTACTTTAGTATATAAGGGCATGTAATTTTCAATTTAAAAGTATTAAGGAAAAAAACAAAAGGACGAGATGCTGTCCCTGGATTTCCCATGACTAGACAGTTATCTCTAGGTTTTTTAAAGTTTTTTTTTAATATTTTATTTATTTATTCATGAGAAACACAGGAGAGAGAGAGACAGAGAGACAGAGACACAGGCAGAGGGAGAAGCAGGCTCCATGCAGGGAGCCCGACATGGGACTCGATCCCAGGTCTCCAGGATCACGCCCTGGGCTGAAGGCAGCGCTAAACCGCTGAGCCACCCGGGCTGCCCTATCTCTAGGTTTTAAGCAGCAAAATGTTTATTAATGTTACACAGGCAGGGGTCCTGCACTACCATCAGCTCCAGGGAGAGATGGAACCTGAGTCGGAATCCTGGGGAATGGAAGGAGGAGTAGGAGTGCTGGTTAAGATGAAAGCTTCTGGGTTAGACAGAACTGCGTTTGAATCCCAGCTCTCTGCCACCTACCACACTGTGGACCTTGGGCCAGTTGCTTAACTGCCCTGGGCCTTGTGGGAGTAATTAGATGCCCTCTTTCCCAGGGCTATGGTGAAAATAAAATGAGATCATTTGAGCAAGACACTTAGCATGGTGCCTGGAACACAGTATTCAATAATGATAGGCATTATTATTTTCAATATTATTTACAGATGTTTCCCAGTTGTTTGAGGAGTGAGAAGTGGTAGCTCTAAAAATCTAGAGGAGGGGAAAATGACCTCAACTTTGCTGGGCCTACCATGCTTCCTGTGCCACTAATCTTGAGAACTGACTTTGTTCTTGCTGGTATTATACCCAGCTAAACTAAAAGGCTCTGTTTCCCAGCTTCCTTTGCAGCGAGGCCCTCTGGAAAGATGCCCTTTTGCTCTTTCTTTATGTTTCTCTGGCCTGGATGCCACAGATGGTAGTTGGAGCCCCATCAGCACTCTTGGACCAGGCCACAATTTCCAGGAAGGAAGCCACACTCTCAGGATGGTGGGGCGGGAGCACAGGAGCCTGAGACCCCGATGACCCTGAAGTTGCCATGCCAGCCCCAGCTTACCTTCCTCTGGAATTCTTTTATATGGAAGAGAAATAGACCCTTATGTTGCATAAGCCCCATCTCTGGGTCTTCTATAATATGAAGATAAACCCAGCCCTAACTGAGTTCTCACAATATAGCTAACCTAAAAAGCAACGACTCATGGCTAGGAGAGGGTGGAGGGTGTGAGGGCTGCTGCCTTCCCCCGGGTGAGGCCAGAGGTGGGGCTTGGCCTGGACACTTACTCATCACCGATGTAGAGTTGGGGCCACACCTCGTTGACGTGGGTATACTGAGGACTGCCCTTCCAGAAGAGACGCTCCAGCTCGAAGGCTCCGGGGGTACAGTAGTCATCTGCTTCTACCTCCTCCTCCCCCCTTGGCAACAGCCTCTTGGCAGGTGGGTAGGCGTTTGGGAGGCTTGTCTTCGTTTCTCTGGATGTCATTTTGGAGCCGAGGGGTTTTCTTTCCTTTCTGCAGTTGGTCATGAGAGAGGGTCAGGATTTGGGTTAGTACAGGACAGAGGTAGGGAATGGTCTTCACAAAAAGAAATGGGAATAAGCTGATCTTAAGATTCTGCAGGCATTTCTCCTGCCTGCTGTGCTCCCATTTCCTCTTCCTGGGCCACAGAGGTAACCAAGAAGGGCCATCATGGCAGTTAAACAACCTTCACCAACATTCCAGTCTCCTTTGGGGCAAGAGGGCTGGCAGCCCTTTGACTTGGGTCAAGGAGGGTTTGCAGCAGACCTACAACAGGCTTCAAGCCTCAAAAATCTCTGTAGGCTGCCAGGCCTTTGCCTCCTTCCTTTTAGCTTTTACCCCTCCTTTGGTGCCTAGTTTTTCCTTTTTCTGATTGGAATCTGCTGGCTCTGGCCATTGGTTCCTGCCATTCGAGGCCTGTGATACTCCACACCTGCAGGGAGCTGAGGAAAGGACACACCTGTAAATCCAGAGCCTGTTTGATCCGAGCAGCCATGCATATTCTGGGAGCTTCAAGAGCCCTGGGGTGGAAGGAGGCTTAGCTCCCTGAGGGTTCCTCAACGTGTTAGGACAGTTGAAGGCAATGTTGGCTGCACACTAGGGGGTTGGCAGTTGTGCTAAGGTACCAGGGGTCAGAAGAGATGTTCTAAGCTGGAAAGCTGTGTTTGCAGATTGAAATGCATATTTGGAGAGCTTGTCAGGCTCTGCAAATGGAATGCGGGAGAAGAGTTTCCATTGTCCCCAAGGAAAGGAATTTGCTGTGGAATTGGGCAGTGTTTGTTCCCCCCCAGCTGAGTGACTGGGACGTCTACACTCAGGCAGCCTGAGGGGAAGTTACAGCTCTGAGCCTGAAGGGAAGAAGAGACTGAGAAACATGGAGGTAAGTGATGAGGAGGGAGTGGTCTTTATTTAACGAACACTTATCTGGCACTTTGTGCTAGGCACTGTTCCAAGTGCTTGACAATTATTAACTCATTTAATCTTCTTAACAACCCTATGAGGTAGGCATTATTTATTATTATTATTATTATTATTATCTCTATTTTACAGACAAGGAGAATTGTAAGTTGAAGATGTCTGTAACACATGGTCTTAGTCTTCTGAGAAAGAAATAGCTGCTGGGAGGTGGGGACGGAGTGCAGTGTGATGGGGACAGGCCAGGAATTTGAAGAATATTAAAAAAATGTTTGCTAGCATGAGGTGCCTGGGTGGTTCAGTCAGTTAAGCCTTCAACTCTTGGTTTCTGCTCAGGTCAGAGATCTCAGGGTTGTATGATCAGGCCCTGGGTTGAGCTCCACATTTAGTGCAAGAGTCTGCTTGGGACTCTCCCCCTTCCCTCTCTCTCTGCCCCTACTCTCATGCTCTCTTTCTCTTAAAAAAAAAAAAAAGAGTTTGCTAGCTTCAAAGACCACTGGGATCATGTCAAAGGACTTAGAACACAACTCAGAGAGGCTTCCACTTGTCAAAAGGGGACAAGTTGAACATGAATAGTAAAAATAACTGCAGTGGATTGAAACACATCAAACATTTAAATCGTAATGATGCTTAAAACAATTACTCATGGTTGGAAGATGTAGGGGACCTGCTCATTATTTTGAAAATAGGTAAGTAAAGGGAAAGAATGTAGCATTTATGGTTCCTCTCTGATACAAACTGTACTACTGGGTAGATGAGGGAAATTTGCTCTTTTAGAGAAATATTCCGGGTAATAAAGAGGGAAGAAAGCATCATTTTGTGACACTTGATGGACTAATGGATATAGGCATTCCCCTCTGACTGTTCGCAACAGGAGAGGAGAGGATCAGACCTTATGGGCCTTCTGTGGGGAGAATTCACCATCGCCGTGAGAGTCTTGCCAGAGAAAAACCCGAGTCTTAAGAGAGTCCTTAGTGTCTAGATCTAACAACCAATTTGCAGGAGATTCCAAGGACAGCTAAATTCTAGCCTAAGTCCTTAACTTTTAGAAATACATATCAAAATATTCACAGATGAAATGATATAATCCCTGGGATTTGCTTCAAACATAATATACTTGAAAAAAATGTGACAATATTTGATGTATAGGATGGGGAGTGGAGGTGGAGGTATGTAAGGGGTAGGATTGGCCATGGTTGGTGGTGGTTGGGGTTGGATGATGATTGCAAGATAGTTATTGTTTCTCTTTGCGTATCTTTGATATTTTTCATTTAAAAATGTTAAGAAGAGGGGCGGCAGAGTGGCTCAGTCATTTAAGCATCTGCTTTCAGCCCAGGTCATGATCCTCAGGTCCTGGGATGGAGCCCAGCTGGGTTTTGGGGGATCATGGGAAGCCAGAATTTATGACTTTTCCCCCTGCAGTTAAGGTGAGTTAAGGGTGGTGGCAACGGAGACAACCCTTTTTTTTTTTTTAATTGTCTTTGGATCTGGACTACTTCTCTCTGAATCATCTGGCTGTTGCAAGACATACAGATTCCCGAGTTACATCCGGACTGGGGCTGTGGGCCTAGGAGTCTGTACTTTAACAAGCTCCCACGTGCCTCTGGTGCTCACTGAAGGTTGATAAGACAGCCCAAGAGTGTGGCTAAGAGTCAAGGAGCTAGTGAGTCAAGACAAGGGGAGTGAAGGAAAGAGAAGGCTGGAAGGCCTTCAGCATACTTCCTTCTCTTCTCTTTGAAGTAGAGGCCATATCTCTAGCTCAGAATAAGGTGCAGGCCTGGTGGTAGACAAGAGCTGGACGACCTTCGCCAGGGACTCTGTGACAATGGCTCCCTGGTGTTTAATTCTCGAGCCCCAGTGGCGGTCATGTAGTGAATGGGGGGGGGGGGTGAGGGGGTGAATGGCTGAAGTGGGGGGTGAAGACCTGTGCTGGGGCCTCAGCCAGAGCTGATGAGGCAGGACTCCCCTTTGGCTCCTGGAGGAGGGGCGGAGGTGAGTCCCAAGGCAGGAGGCAGGGTCTCCCGTGGCTGCCCAGGCCTGGAGCCTGCTGTGGCGCCTGCCTGCTGGTGTTTCTAGTCACAAGGGGGAAGAGGATGGCCAGGGATGGGCAGAAACTTCCACTGTGGGAACCAGCCCAAACAACACTCTCTGCCACCAAAGGAGGCTTCGGAAGAGGTGATTTTAGCGAGGCCTGGAGTAAACTGCATCCTGAACCCCCTGCCGGCCTCCTTTGATCACTGAAGCTGACCTCACCCTTGCGGGGCTGTTCCTCCTTCATTATAGTGGGGAAGGAGCCCCCCCAGCCCCATCTCCGTGCTGAAAGCCTCGGCTGGATTTCCAGACAGAAGAGGAAGTGGTGCGGTCTACCCAGAGCGGCTTGGCACGCAGAGGGAGCTCTGGGATCTATTATCCTCCAGTGTGCAGATTTGATGGGGGGGAGAGAACAAAGCACAGAACAGTCCAGAAACCACAGACCTGTAATCTTTCCAAATCCTGAAGGCGGCTTGTGTGCATCCCTCTCTGCACGGCTCCCAAATTTCTGAATCTCAGAGAGGCTGAGAGCGTCTGCTTCCCAGACCACAGCCAAAATGGAAGGGGAAGACAAATCTGTTCTGTTTGGTTTCCATAGATTCGACCCAGAGATTAACTGCCAAGGTCTTGATGACACACACAATATCAATCACGGGCTAAATGTCATAATGAGAGCTGGGCAGGTTGTCAAGAGAGGCCTCCAGGTTTCTGTTACAGCTTCATATTTAAAGGTTTGGTCCCAGGAAACTAAATGCCATCCTGAAGGCTACTTGGCCTGTCTCTGCCCCAAAGGAGAGCAGGCTCCTTCCTGGAGGGGCCAGGCAGGTAAGATAGAGGAGGCAAGTGGGTTGGGTGTTAGAGAATAAAACCAACCAACCAACCCTCACTGTTGGCCTCCAGCAGGAGAGAAGAGAGGAAGAGGAGTGGTGGGGACTGTGGCAGGGAAGAGAGCCGATGTTCCCCGGAAGGCCACAGCAGCTTGCCCTTCCCTGTGCGAACTCAAGCCCAGATTCTCTGATATTTTTATGAGAGGTCAGAAAGCCAGAGTTTTGTGAGAAATCTGCTGCTGTTTACATGTAGGCCGCCGAAGGAGATGCTATCCATACCCTGTTCCGTTCCTCAGCTCAGATGGCTGCCATGTAAGCGGGCAGTCCCTTACCCACAGAAGGCCTCCTCCCTAAGCCCCTGGTTCTCCCCTCGGGATATTTTCTGGTCTCTGTGTTGGTCAGGCCTACAGTATGAGGAGTTACCCTCGAACGTTGTTGCTAATGAAGGGGGCCGTTGGAGAGGTACCCTGGCTCCCTCCGCCCTCTGTGGGACCTCCGTGGGGAGTCTGTTCTATGCGGGGTAACCTGACGTGTCCTGTGGGGGCTCTCTTCCCTCCCAGACCCCCCTCCCTGCACCCTGGTCTCAGGATGAGCTCTGGAGGGAACCTAATCTGCTAATTTTAAGACATTTAAAGACACTGTGGTAACGGAACGTGCAGAGGCCAAGTGCTACTTGACGGCTAAAGCCTAGAGCAACCTTTCCCTCTGTGAAACAGTGGCCTTGACTTCAAGATGCTCTTTCCAGGCGGAATGAACACAGGGGCCCGTTGTTAATTCTGACTCCATTTCAGAATTTTCCATGGTACAGCTCACGTTTGGTGAAAGGTTTCCCCTGCCCAATGAGGGAAGGCTTTGGATGAATTTAAAACTGTAATTTCGACACCATAGTTTGACTTCATATAAAAACAAAACAAAACACCTTACACAGTTTTGTTTTGTTTGTTTGTTTTTAACTAGAAGAAAAATATCAAAATGTCAATGCTGTGAGCAAGTGGCAGGACTCCAGGAGATTTTTTTTTTTCTGTTTTCTATTTTGGGATTCTTTGAATAAATAATCATATTTTATAGTAAATCACCATGTCTATATTTTTAAACTGTGCTGACCAAGCAGAACAGCTGGGCAGGAAGCTGCCTGTGACTTGTAATTCGTGATTCCTATTCTATCTTCCTTGCTCCTGGACCTGGCACTTTCCTGGGGGCCCCTCTGCCACCCTGTCCCGATCTCCCTGCATTCGCTGGCTCCAGGCCCTGCCCTGATCTGCTCTCACAGCCCCAACAATCACTGAAGACTCTTGGATACATCGCATCCTCCCTGGGTGTCACTTTCTTCTTGATAAAATGGAGCTATAACAAGAAGGGTAAAGATAGTTTTGAAAATAAACAAAAAACCTGACCCGAGCTCTTTCTAAGGTGGCTGAAGGGAGAAGCCAGGTGGCGAGATGCATTATTTATTTCGCTGGGAACATTAAATCGCTAAGTAGGCCGTTGAGCCTGCAAAGACTGGCCAGGTAACCGTGGACTGAGAGCCACAGAACAGGCCTCGACAAAAGATACCATTTGAGGACCCCTTGGATGAGAAAAAACTAAGTCCTGAAGTATGAGTGGGAAGGTGGTGGTGCAAGGCAACAAGAGCTAAATTATTCTGTACAAGGAAGCAAGGGGAGTTCTGAGGCTCTTCGAACATCCCCCGAAGGGGGGATAGAGAGGGAGGGGGGACGTGGGCCGCAGACAGTCAGGTGTGGAATGTCCAGGGCATAGCATTCTGCGGAGAACAGGATTCCCAGTGCCCGCCAGCGAGGGCAGCCCTCTCTTCTCAGCCTTGAAACCATTAGATGCAACAGGCAGCCACATCGGTGGTGGTTTTGAGAAATCAAAGTGAAAGAGGCTTAAGCAGGTGGAGAGAAGAGACCACAGGTTTATGAAGCAGAACGTACAGTATCCACTAACCTAATCAAAGCTGGCTATCTGCGTATTTTAGGATGGTGGAATTATTTGCAATTCTTCTTTTTGAGGAACAATCTATTCTGAACTTTCCGTTTTGAACCTGTATATGAAGTATATGAATAGGGTGGGGGAAGCCTGTGAAAGTTCTATTTTAGAATTAATTCTGGACGGGGCGCCTGGGTGGCTCAGTCGGTTAAGCGTCTGCCTTCAGCTCAGGTCGCTCCCAGGGTCCTGAGATCCTGCCCAGTGTCGGGCTCCCTGCTCAGTGGGAAGCCTGCTTCTCCCTCTCCCTCTGCCCACCCATGCTTTCTCTCTATCTCTCTCTCTCACTCTCTCTCTCAAATGATAAAATCTTAAAAAAAAAAAAAAAAGAATTGTTCTGGACAAAGTAGATGCCCACCCTAAACCTTTGGGCTAAGGCACAGGGGGGTGACCATCAGGACCAGGCCTGGCTAGGTGTTCCTTACATCTCACGAGGCACCGCGTGCCCTCCCCATAAGTGTGAGCTCCCCGAAGGGAGCCATGCCCTCCTTGAGGCCTCTGGGAGCAGAGTCAGGCTTAGGTCATGTCAGAAGTTCACTCTAATCCCTCAGTGCTTCCAGAAACCAGAGGAGAATCAAGTTTTGTGTGTCCTGAAGCTTATACAATTTCTTTAAGGACAGGAAAACCAAACAGGTACAGGGCCTTGGAAGAGGCCCATGTAAGTGTGTGGGTCTTGAAGCTTTGGGGGCAAATCTACCTCTGAGGGAAGCCTCCTTCCCCTCTGACTGGAGACAGACCTTGGGTGAAGAGGGCAGCATCGTTCCCTTGCCCCATGGTGCCAGAGCCAGCATCCTTGATTCCCCTTCCCCGGTCTCGGTTTAGTCTCAATCAGCCAACATCAGAGGTGCTCCAGGAGGTCACGAATGAGTGCGACCCATTTTACCTTCTAAGTCAGGCCTGGCCCAGCCCTCCACACCCAGGCTTTCCTCACCCATTCCTCCATTAAGCAACAGATATGGGCTGGGCCAGAGAAGTCTCTGCCTTCTAGAAGTTTTTGGTCTAGTAGAGCAGTTTCTACAGTAGTCTACAGTCTCCCTTCTGAAGTCCTTCTGTATCTGGGCGTATGTATACGTTGTGTATTTACCTTCCTACTGCATCAGGATCTTGGGGGAAAGTTAGTCTGTGTTGAAATGCATGCACACCACATTTCTTCCATGACACCACCCAAGTCGGGCTTGGAATGCGCCTTGAAAGAAGAGGGAAGGTAAAAATGTTACTGTGGTTGGATAAATTACTCTATTAGGAGAGTAATACCTTCTGCTCGGGTATGCAAAGGGGTGGAATTTGGCAGCAGTGTATATATATAAATAAACATATTTTTAATTTACTGCAAGTCAGTGCTTGTCTTTACGCATCTTAAGCCTATAAAAATGATCCCAACTAGGAAATAAAAGTTGTGGATTTAAAAAAAATTAAAACCTGGACGTGAAAACCTGGGAATTTTTGTTGTTGCCCTATAATTTAATTCCTAACGTATTTGACACAATCCAAGTTTCACAGATTTTTTTTTCCCCTTTTCAATTCTGGCAAGCATGTTAACAGGAGGCAATTATGCGAATTAATATAAAATCCTTTTATTAAAAAAAACAGAAAAGCCTTCATTTCAAGGGGTAATTTAATATTCCTTCTGTGATGGTGTTGATGTCATAACTTGTTTGATTAACTCTTCAAATGGTTTCAAAGCACTTCAGGGTGGTAATTTATGAACTCCTAATTGATCTCCCCCATCTTGGTTTGGCAGAGTGGGGCCTCCCGGAAACCGTGAGGAGGCTGGAGGCCTGAACCCAGCTTCCCTCTCAGACAGGGGAGCAGGCTGAGATGGACTCTACCTCTGCGCCTGGGCCCCGTGGGGAAGGAGAGGCTCTGGCGCAGGGCACTGGGGACCATGACGTGTGACCAGGCCAGCTGTGGCTCCTGACTCCTGAGCAGCCGGGCTTTGGCCTCCTCCGAAGATGTGTGGAAATACTACAGGCAATTTTACAGCTCATGAATTCAGGAATAGAGGGCCTCGGGCCCACAACTTTCAGGAGCTGCTTCCCACTGTGCGTCACCTCAGAACATGAGGCCTCGGTGCGTGGGGCAAACGGGAGGTGGGGTAGACTGAGGGGCGCAGCCCTCACGGTGGGCCTGCCACCTCCCCTTCCCCGCCTGGCCTCCTGTCTCGGGACTGTGCAGGGGTAGCTCTGGGCCTTGGGAAGGCGTTGAGCCAAACACTCGCTTCTTAAGCTGCCATGAAAGCTCACTTGAGTGGCCAAGGCTGGGCAGGACCCAGGGCAACGGTCATACAGTCGCTACCTCTACTGTGCGCCCAGTGACCATCTACTCAAGCCCCCAAGACACGAAAGAGCTGCCCCTGCTTCACAGATGAGCAAAATGAGAGTCAGGGGTTAGTAACACAACACTAGGCGATGTGACTGGGCGTCACCCAGGCAGCCAGGCATGCCACCCCAAGTCATGAGAGGGTCACTGTATTCTTGGTCACAAGGTTTACGCTCCCGAGGGCAGGCCTGGGCCCTTCGTTTTTGTGTCTCATCCCTTATGTGCATCCCAGCGCGGTGTGCAGTCGGGGAAAGAGCTCTCACTGGCCTTGGAGTCTAACAAACCTACCTGGGCTTCGGCTTCCTCATCTGTAGAATAGGGATCATGTCCACCTCATGGGTTGTAGGGTCAAATGAGAGGATACAAGTCCTCGGCACATCGACAGGGGCTCAGAAAATGTTTTATGAAAGAGGACAAGCAAGGAAGCAGTGAGGAGGCTGGATGGAGAGCTCCCAGTTGTGTTGGGAGCTAAATTCTGAGCGCGGGGTCGAGGGTCTCTGTAGAGTAATTGTGGCAGATGGGTTGGGGCGTGAGTAAGCCTGAACATTCTCCTATGGGTGTTAGGGCTCATTTGCTCATGTGCAAAGTATCCGCGAGGCTTTGGGGAGGAGGAGAAAGGACTCTCTCCAGCTTGTTTGACATCTGGTGCCCGTGCCAGGCAGGGTAGGCCCAGACCATCAAGAGTCCCTGGAGGCCAAAATTCACACACTATCTGCTCTGGAGTCAGGCTGCAGAGGACAAAACAGAGCTGTGACCCCTGGCACCAGTACCTGGAGTGGCTGTTCCTGGGGCCTGGTCCAGGTTGAAGTCCAGGCATCAAGCAGGGGAGTGAGATGTCAGCCCTGCCCCCGCGGAGGGGCACCAGGGCACATGCCATCAGACTCTAAGGTACACCTTCCTACTGTCTGGGCTTTGTGATGTGGACAAACCATTCCACTCCTCTGTGTCTCAGCTTCCTCATCTGAAAATGGAGGTGATGAGGTACTTCCTTCATAGGGCTGTTTCAGTGCTGAGTAGTAAATGAGTTCATACTTATAAGAAAAGTTTTTGGAACCACACCTGACACATCGTCAGCACCAGGAAACATACAGATTCACAAGGGTTGTGCAAAGCCCAACCTCGTTGGGCCTCGTTCCAGGACATGCTAAGGGCCAAGCCTCCAGCCTCGCTGCCCCTGCTCTGCTCCTCATCGCTTGTGGGGCAGACAATAGCCACAGGGACCCCACCCTGAGACAGGACTCAGCGTCCCCTCCAACCGAGTGCCACCCTGGGACCGAAACGTTCCCAGTGAGGTCTTCCAGCTAATCAGATGGCCTCCCTTGTCACCCTTAGCACAGATGTGCTTTTGCCCCCGAAGAGCCCCTAACTCTTCAGACTCTCTCCCATATCCGACCCCCTAAACCCAGGCCCAAGTTTCTTTCCTGGTACAGGTCTCAGCTCAGAGGCCCTGCAAGTGTCGTTTATAAATGCTATTTGGTGGAACCAAAGAAATTTTCTCGTGAATAGAACAAGCAGGGGCCACACGTGAAAGGGCAGGCAACTGGACAAACACCAAGGACACTCGGGGGCTGGGGCCTTAAGTGAGGAGGCCTCTCCGCACACGCACCTCACGCCCCCTCCCTTCTCACTTGGGAGCCTTTCCCTTTAGAATGTTTTCAACTTTCCTGAGCAGTCAGAGCTCCCAGTCCCCATCGCTCTCAGGTTCCAGGCTCATGAGGAGCCATTGGGCCACAGGACAAGAGCACCAGGAGAGCCCCAGGCTGAGACGCAGGATGGCTTCCCACCTTCTTATCTACACACGCTGCTGTCTTGGCCAAGTGGCCCTGTCCCTTGGTGACCCAGTCTGCCCATCTCTACCAGGGCAGTCATCCCCACCCTTATCCTCCCACCAGGCCTGGGAAAAGCTTTAAAAATGATTGCTCTTTCCAAATGATGCTTCGCATTATCCAGGACACCGAAAGAGTTCTCCTTCCTGGGCTTTTGAGTGCTACACTTGTCATTTGTGCTGCCCTACACATGATGGGAATCACTACGGTGTTTCTCTCTCCCCTCCTGCTGAGAGATTTTTCCCCTCTGCTGGCTAAATGGACCAATGAAGAACCTAGCTGGAAAATGATATGTAATACGGTGCATCCAATGCCTCAGGAGGGCCTGATGGGCTTTGACCCACCCTATTATCCTTTAGAAATGGTCATTGAACTGGAAGCTCAGATTTGGAGGGAGGGAAGTTGAGAAAACTCTGGAGCCTCTCGAAAAAGATGGGGCAGGCCTGTCATACTAAGAGGATGTCAGCTGTTCTCTGCCACGCTAGAAACAGAGTGGAAAGGAACCTTCTCACCCCCACACCCAGGCCCTCAAAGAACTTGACTGGACCCAAGAGGCATCGGCCTCCCCACCAAAGGGCCTTACCTGTGTGCGTTGGGGCCTGGCCGGGGCAGGAGGTGCTGGTCTGTGGGGCGTGTGGCAGCCGCACACCCGGCCACCTCCACTGGCATCCAAGAGCCTATTTTTAGGGTCAGATCTGCTGACGCTGACCTTGTGTGCTGCCCAGTCTGGGAAGAGACCCGTGGCATCTGCTTGCAAAATGATGTGCTAGTGTGACCTGAAAGCCTTGACTTTGGGAGCCCTCCACCTGGAGCCCACACGCCCGTCCGGGGCCCGGCGTCGGAGGCAGGGCACGTGGCCGACCAGGGCGGGGACAGGCAGGGGGGTTTGCCAGCTTTGTTTTCTGGGGATTGACAAGGCCAGGTGTCTGTGGGGCCCTGCCCTGGGCTTTGTTCCAGAACAGCTGGAACAGGTTTGCCAGCTGATGCAGAGCCTGTGTGAAGCCTGGGAGCACCCAGACTGCAGAAGGACTCTCCACTCCAGTCTTTTCCAGGAGTTTGGGTAGCCACCCCTGGGGGCGTGGGTGGAACGGGGGTGCAGCACAGCGAGGGGGCGGCGATCCGTGAAACACAGCCGACAGAGACTCTGTAAGCTTGGGTTCATTTGCGTTGTGTCATCTCACGTGAGACCTCCAGCAAGCGTCCAGTGGGGAAAAGAATCATAATGCTGTCCTCTTGTGATTATGAGAGTTAAATTAGATGAAGTGTGGAAAAACACTTGGCAAACATTTAAAAAATACCAGATGATACTAGGATGCCCCAAAATATTTCCAATTCAACAGTCACTTCCAGGTCTTTCTTCCTGGTGGGGCCTTCTCTCAACCTGCTGCCTCTTTAGCTCTAGGCTTCTTTGCTCCAGGAGCGCCCCCACCATGCCCCCTACTATGATCCTCCTTTTTAGTGCTGAGAGCCATAGTCCTGTCAAGTCTCCTCTAACATTCTACTAAAATCTTTCCAGATCTTCCCACAGTTCCTTATAATTGAGTGAGGTGTTTTTCCACCCTTCCCCACCCTTGTCACTCTCTTGGGGGCCTACTTTAATGTGTGAAGGATCAGGGGGAGGGACAAGGGGTCACCAGTCTCCCCATCTGCTTCACTTAACAAAGTCTTCTTGTGTTGGGCTCATCACACTGTCTACTGCAACCTTGTATTCAGCAAACCAAAGATCCGCCTCCCCATTTGCGTGTTTAGCTATGGCCAGTTTTATCGAGGGTGATTGTTTCTACCAGAATTTTTCGTTGTGGAACTGCTGAAAGACTCAACTTTCATTGATTTCTTGGTGCAAAGAATATTCACAAGGCAGAGACTAAGGACCTGAGTGTATAATAAGGTCAAAATGTCAGGGTCCAGATGTCCTCACTGTCAAGTGCTGGAGTCAGAGTAGCAGAGTCAAAGGCCCTTCTACAATCACCCCAAGAACTAAAGGAGTCAGAAACGCTGGAACCGACAAAGGTTGGAGGATGATTTCTGTCTGGTGAGGAGCCTTGAAGGTCCGGTCCCAGCCCATACCAGAACCCCAGCCAAGTCAAAGGTTAAGGAAGCAAAAGGGGCCTCTGAAGATGTAGGTTCACCAGGGGACAAAAATCAAATATCTAAAGACATATGGGATAGATGATTGATAAGAATGGGGGGTAATATTTCACACTGTCTAGGAAGGATATTCAAGTAAATAAAGCCAAGAAAAGAATTAGGTGGGGGCAACCCGGGTGGCTCAGCAGTTGAGCGTCTGCCTTCGACCCTGGGCATGATCCCAGAGTCCCAGGATGGAGTCCCACATCGGGCTCCCTGCATGGAGCCTGCTTCTCCCTCTGCCTATGTCTCTGCCTCTCTCTCTCTCTCTCTCTCTCTCTGTGTGTGTGTGTGTGTGTCTCTCATGAATAAATAAAATATTTTTTAAAAAAAGAATTAGGTGGGTTGCTGGAGTATCACCTGCATAGGGTAGACCCCACATGTAGTTAATCGAAGACTACTCCCCACTGAACGGGGAGCCTGATGCAGGGCTCGATCCCAGGACTCTGAGATCATGACCTGAGCTGAAATCAAGAGTCGTTTAATTGACTGAGCCACCCAGTTTCCCCCCCTTTTTAAGATTTTCTTATTTATCTTATTTGAGAGAGAGAGAGAGAGAGATGAGGGAATGGGAGTGGGAGTAGGGGGAGGAGCAGAAGGGAAGGAAGGAGACAGAAAGAGAAGCATGGAGCCCGACTCAGGGTTTGATCTCACAACCCTGAGATCACAACTCTGAGATTACGACCTGAGCCAAAATCAAGAGTCAGAGGCTTAACCGACTGAGCCACCCAGGTGCCCCGACAATAGCACTTCCTGTACAGCTCTAAGGGCAGAACTCAGGCAATGGGTTCTCCTCCAGGTCGTCTTCTGTGGACTCAACACCCATTCCGCTGGATTGGGAGTGGGCCAGGTAACCATCAGCTGGACTTGTGGGTGTCTCCACCTGTTCCACCTGTTCCAAACTCCGGGGCTAGTCCGTCAGGGCTCTGTGCAATGGCAGGCCACACTTGTGCAGGTAAAGTACGATCTGTAGAAACAGTTGTCATGTTCCTTGTAGCTTCTTGGGAATTTCCACGTCAGCCTTTGACATGGGTTTCCCCCCACCACCACCACCACCACTTCTCTGACCCATGTTACTTTCATTAGCAAACTTCTTTTCCCCAGAATCTCCCAGACTTTCTCCACTTTCAGATGCAGGTAGGCACTGCTCTTGTCCCAGCTCCTCTGGATCAGAATCCCACTTAGGGCCAGCGGCAAGGTGTGGTCGGCCCAATGCCCTCCCCAGCCAAAGATGTCCATGCCCGAATCCCTGGGACCTGTGAATGTATCTTGTTACAAGGCAAAGGAGAATTAAAGTTGCAGATGAAATCAAGGCTGCTAATCACCTGACTTTAAAATAGGGAGAGTGCCCTGGACCATTCAGGTGGGTCCAGTGTAATCCCCAAAGTTCTTAAAAGTGGAAGAGAGAGGCAGCAGGGGAGGCTCATGTGATGCGGTATGGGAAGAATTCAAATCCCTGTGCTGGTTTTGAAGATGGAAGGAGGGGCCACAGCCAAGTTGGAAAAGGCAAGGAAATGGATTCTCCCCTAGAACCTGCAGAAGGAAGGCTGTTCTGCTAACACCTTGATTTTAGCCCCGTGAGACCCATGTCGCCCTTCTGACCTACAGACTGCAAGATAATAAATGTGATGTTGTAAGCCACTGAGTTTGAGGGAATTTGTTACACCAGCAACAGGAAACCAGTACATAAGATTTGATTCATACATGACTTTCCTGAGTCCAGAAGATCCAGAGGCTCCTAGTGCTCTTTGGACACCTGAGTTTACATGGACACTGAATCCAGCTAGAGTCCGGGAAGAGGGCTCCCACCCAGAAAGGTGGAGGGCGCACCTTCGTAACAGATGTGTGTAGTCTGATGACCGCAATAAGTCCTGTGTCCTCCCAGAAATCTCTCTCTTCTTTCCTGTTAAACAAAGCAAAATAGGGCGCCTGGGTGGCTTAGTCGTTAAACTTTTGCCTTTGGATCAGATCACGATCCTAGGGTCCTGGGATCCCAGGGTCCTGGGATCGAGTCCTGCATCAGGCCCCCTGCTCTGCTGCTTCCCCTGCTTGTGCTCATTCTCTCTCTCTCTCTCTTTCTCTCTCTCTCAATAAATATAAAAATAAAATCTTTAAAAAAAACAAACAAACAAAGCAAAGCAAATAACCTACCCAATGCCATTGTGTGCAGCAGAAGAGACTGTGGCACAATGCAGGAGACAGCTCCAAATTCAGTATCCAGCCTCCTGCTCTTAGAGGGTGGTTGGCTGGACCCCTTCCCCAGGGAATTTCTCCCTCCACAGACTTCTGTCCCTGTCCCTGCCCTGTCCACAAGGCTCCTCCCTGTAAGTGCGACCCCAGATTTCCTTCTTTTCCATCCCTGGTCTCTCACCTTCCTCTCTCGAGCTGAGTCTTTCAAGGGGCTCCAGATTCCTCTTCCCTTCTGATTACGCAGAGCAGGTAATGTGCTCCCTCTCAGTCTCAACCTCCCAAGCTAAGCCTGGGACCTCTGCAAGGTGTTCTCCTGGATACGTCATCAATCAAAAGGGGAATTTTTTGACTCCCCTAAATAATAGTGTCCATTTGACCCTGGAAACAGGAGGCCCTGCCCTGAGCTTGGTTTTTAGAGGTCCCTGCATATCACAAGCGTGTAATTGTTGACACACTACTACATACCTATTGGAAGGGCTAAGAACAAACAAAGGCCCAACAATACCAAACTTTGGTAAGATGCATTTGTCTGTAAAACCAAGAGGAGTGAGTTCTGTTATACGTAACTTTAGGAATAAAAAGGATACATGGGTGGGGCACCTGGGTGACTCTGTTGGGTGTCTGCCTTTGGCTCAGATCACAACCCCAAGGTCCTGCGATGGAACCCAGTGTCATTTTCCCTGCTCAGTGAGGAGTCTGCTCCCTCTCCCTCTGACCCTCCCCACCCCCAGTTGTGTATGCTCTCTCTCTCTCAAATAAATAAATAAAATCTTAAAAAAAAAAAAAGGATATGTGGGCACCTCTTTCACTTGGCTTCGGCACTGGTCAAGTATATGACACGAAGCTCTAGCCACTTTTGTGATTGACACCATTCTTGCTCTGTGTTCTCAAAACAAAAGGTAACTGAGTCTGAATTCCATGCAGGTTAGTGGATTGTGTTGCTGCTAACCTTGGGGTATGGGGAGGATCTGAGCTGTGGAAGTGCTTAGGTGAGAGAAAAGATGGCTTATTTGGCTTACCGAGTCGTCCACCCAATACAAAAATCTGGTAGTGGTGAGTGCCTATGTTATCTCTATGCTCTGCTTCGGGGTTTTTGAAGGGATCCAGAATCAGTGTGATAGTCACAACTGTTACACAATAACTGAATAATATGTTGGTATCTTAAACAATTCATAATATTCTTTTAGGTATAGGTAGGTACATCCAGATGTAATAAGTGTGAAGCATAATGTCGATTCTTTACATTGGCTACTAGAATTCTCAATGATTTTATTTTATTTTTTAAATAATTTTATTTTTATAACAATAGTTTAGGAGAACTTTTGAAGACATCAGCTAAGGCTTTCAGGTACATTTAGATAATTTTTATTTAAAACTTTTGAGATTCA